AGCGCAAGATTGTTGATTTTTGCATAGCCAACTATAGACTCATCTTTAGACTCATTATCATCCTGAAAAATAATGGGGAAAATCCAATTATATTACATATTTACAGGATACTTATCCATAGGCTAGTTACCCGTGGTGGATGTCATTTTTTTGTAATAAACACAAGCTCAAAGCAAGAACATAATCTCAAAAGGTTAACTTATCAGGAGCACTACAAAAAAAGGGACTTTAGGCGACGACTTTCGGCGGCGACAAAAAAAGTCGCCGCTGAAAGTCCACTTTCGGCGGCGACACCAAAAAGTCGCCGCTGAAACTAAGACTTTCAGCAGCGACGAAAATGTCGCCGCTGAAAGTGGACCTTCAGCGGCGACTTTTTTTTGTCACCGTCAAAAGTGGACTTTCAGCGGTGACTTTTTTTGTCGCCGCTGAAAGTTCGCCATTAAACCAAGACTTTCAGCGGTGACAAAAGTGTCGCCGCTGAAAGTGGACCTTTAGCGGCGACTTTTTTTGTCGCCACCAAAAGTGGACTTTCAGCGGCGACTTTTTTAGTCGCCGCTGAAAGTTCGCTATTGAAACCAAGACTTTCAGCGGCGACCATTTTTGTCGCCGCCGAAAGTAGACCTTCAGCGGCGACTTTTTTAGTCGCCGCTGAAAGTTCGCCATTGAAACCAAGACTTTCAGCGGCGACTTTTTTTGTCGCCGCTGAAAGTATAATATAATAATATATATATTTTATTTTACAATATTAATAAACAAATTCAATCTGGCTCAGCGGCAAGAAGGTTGGACACGAAAGGAGGCGGTCACGAGTTCGAACCTGGAAGAAGACACATTTAAGGTGAAAATATTTAGATGATGACGTGGCGAGAAGGAGTGATGTGGCAATGACGTGGAGGTGGCTAGTGATGATGTGGCGGTCGGCGGTGATGACGTGGCCGCCGATGGCGATGACGTGGAGGTCGACGGTGCTGACGTGGCGGCCGGAGACGATGACGTGGCACCGGCGGTGATAACGTGGCATTGGTAAAAGCAATTCTTCTTAGGCATTACTTTCAGCGGCGACAAAAAAGTCGCCGCAGAAAACACTTTCGGCGGCGACAACAGTGTCGCTGCCGAAAGTGTTTTCAGCGGCGACTTTTTTGTCACCGCTGAAAGTGTTTTTGGCGGCGACATTTGTCGCCGCTGAAAGTATCTTTTAGCAGCGACCTTTTTAGTCGCCACTAAAAGTTTTCAGCCACGGCTGCTACGGCAACGACTTCTCAGCGGCGACTAGTCGCCGCAAAAAACTTTCGGCGGCGACTTTTGTAACGTCGCCGCTGAAAGTCAATTTTTTTGTAGTGGAGGAAGAGTCCTTTAAACTTATAAATCGTGTAACGCTTGTGAGATTTCCCTAATATGAGACTCTTAACATTTTTAACAGTGGCTTCTGCATTTAGTGAGGTGAAATAAACAAATGAGAAAGACAAATACATAATATATAGCAGTGAGCTAGTACTTATGTACAAAGATATGCAGTTAGATATGTTAGGACAAAACACTTCACGGTAACTCAAATATTACCTTGTAGAGCAGAAACTCACTAAAAAGAGAGTTGATGAACATGATCGACCAACTTATATATTACTGAAATAGCGAAATACCAGAGAGTCTTCTCATCTAGTTTTGCATGCACACTAAAGAGGAGTATAGTGTGTATCTCTATGTCTACGTTATCTACTCAGAAAGCTTCATATATGTATATATATGATAGTTAAAAGAATTAAGGGTTCAGAATAACAACTCAAATTAATAATTTATCATTTAGAGCAACATTCATATATTTATACCTAGGGTGACTCCTAAATCTAGTTACTTCATTGAAAGATACTAGGTGTGAGAGATTCGTGTAGAGTAGGGCATGCATGATTTGGTCAATCGAGAGTTTCATTCGACTTAATTTGATTTGAAAATCTAAACAATCATTTTGGTTTGTGGTCTCGAATATATTGTAATGTCATCTTAATACATGACCATGTGTTTATATAAGTGAAAATTCTCATTCCTAAACCATGCTATAGTTAATATGCCTATAGTATATGCCTTTTGCTCGGATACTTAGCCTTTTAAAAAGGAAAATTTCTCTCTATGGATGCGACTGTCTTCTAGATGAATAATCTTTTCTAAGTGAATTGGAAATATCAATATCAATATGAGATATAAAATCATAAATTAAGCTTATTATATTCACAAGTCATAAGCAATAATGCAGCTCATTCACTTAGATTTTGTTCAAAATGAAACAAATTTGACCTATTAATATTAATAAAAAAACACAAAACTTGGATTAAGTTGCTTATATGTTAGGTCGAGTTCATAAGTGAGGTTGCAAATGCACAAACACATTTTAACAACTAATAATAGAGAATAACAAGTACCATATGAAAATTTATAGCCCTAATTAATTTATATTATTAGGGTAGTTAATACAAAAATTTGTAAGAATTAATTTTACAGATGAATTTACACATGTAAGTATTTTAACAATTAATAATAGTAAAATAACAAGAATCCATGTAAAAATTTATAAATCTTAATTTATATTATAAGAGTTAAAACAAAAATTTACAAGTATTGATAAATTGCAATAAAGAAAAAAGAAAGCTCTCAATTCTCAAATGGCACAACTCTGTGTCATTTAACATAAAATATTCCACCTCAAACATGTGGCATAGGCAAGGCATCCATTCTAAAAGCTTTCTAGTAAAACTGAGTTATCTATGTACCTTCAAGGTGAAGCCATTACAGTAAGAAGTATTGGATTCTCCAACTATACAGTCACTTTTTGTTTTTCTTTATTTTCAGATTCATGTAGATTAATTAATAATGGATAAGACAAAATATGCCTTATACTTTACCAACACCAGCTAGCTAGTTTCTTAAACAAAGTCTTATCTTAATTCTATATAAAATAAGAGAGAGCCAGCGCGCTTTAAACCGGAGCCTCTAATACCCCCCTCTAATATCTTTATTCTAGAGGTCTCTTTAAACTCATATGGTTTGACACAATTTGATCCGAATTAGTCAAAACTCAACATAACTTACAATTAAGAAACCGGTTGGTATTATCCAAAAACATGTTTTGTGATCAAGGATTAGTAATTAAGAAGATCATGTATTGCTGCTCTCTCTCTCTTTCCACCCCTCTTTCCTTTCTCTTATATATATAAATATATATATATATATATCTCCTAATCACAGCCTTCTATCGAAGGGCGAAGTTTTATTTTTCTATACTTCAGTGCATGTATATTTATATCTCCTTGCCATTCATTTCATCATTCGTATTCCTTATGTTGATTCTGATAAGAATGGCAAAAAGTATTATGCATATTAATTAAATAACGGGAGTAACTAAGTGTTTCAAAAGATATAATAAAGAAAGCATATATATACCATTTGTCTGCTACCAATATTTTAGGTATGATCTAAGAATCATATATTATGTATGGCATCAAATATGGCGGCACTTTGACTAAAAAGTATTTCGATTATTAGACTTACTTTAACAAAAGTATTTTCACCTTCTCTTAATTATTAATTTGTTTAAATTATAAGCTGATATAATATGTAGACTGCTCATCATCACCTGTATTATTACAGAAATTTTGTAAATTCTGCAAATAAATGCTCTGGAGTTACACACAAGATAAATATAAACATAAGTTGCCCTTATGATTTATATTGCTTTTCAATATATATTTTCTTTGCAGATTGCTAATTAGGGATTAAAATATAATTATTTATGAGCTTATATTGAATCTTAATTAATTGAACTTAAGATATATGATATTTACCTGAGTTTTGATTCGCACACCCACACACGGAGAAAAATATGGCTTTTAAATAACTTGAAGTTACATGGATTTTTTTTATCATTATATTTTTAGATACTAATTATGAACAAAGAATGAGTGCCCACAGAATCTAACATGTTTTCATTGTGATCTTTCATTTACTTTTCCTGTCTTGTTATATTTGCTTTTTAATTTCTGTGGCTTTACTTTATTCCACGCATCAGCAGACTCATCCCCTCATTCTCCACTTCTTTCATTCTTTGTTTTATTGTAATTATTTGGGGGGGAAACGACACAGCCTATTGCAAGAACAGCTTCATATAATAATCAATATCATCCTATTGACATTTTTAGGAGTTCTCATTTAGTGCTCTTCACAACGATGAGCCCTATGTGCTCATCACGGTAATGCAATGTAAACCATCTAAAATCTGATATAAATTGTTTAGATTTAAAATTTTTAATATGTAATTTTTTAATGATAAATTTATTTTTTTAGAGAATTGTTAGTTATAAGATTATTTTTATTTTAAATTCTGTGTCTATTAAAACCAAAAAATTCATTAAAATATAGAAAAATATTTAAATTCAATCTAAATCATATAAAATCGATTTGAATTGTCCAAATTAATATGTGCATTTCATGCTGATGAGCATAGAATGTGCTCCGGATGCTTACTTACAAATTACCTGTAAAAATGAGCTTATCACTTCATTAGTAAGATATGAATCAAAGTTCTTATAGAATATGAGACATATTCTTAATTACCGACAGAACTGTGTTTTTGCGGTCAAAAACATTTTTCTATGTTATAAATTAAATTTATAGTGAGAGTATATAGCGATTGTATAATGATAATCCACCCGTAACGTATTTTTCTTTTGACGTCATTGTACGTAAAGAATGATATATAGAGAGGGATTTTTTTTTTTTTGCCTGATACCGTAGTTACATGAAAATACGCAAATAAAAGCAAAAGGTGAGAATCGTATAGGAACCTTCTCAGTACAAAGCAAATAAGGTTCCCTCCATGTCACGCACCAAACCAGCTAAGAGCCTCTCTCTCTCTCTCTCTCTCTCTCTCTGCCTGCTCGAGAAAGGGCAATAGAATCTCTCTAACCTATAAAGAAAACCAACCTATGTCCGTAATCCTTTGAGTTTGAAGTGAAACCAAAATTCTTGCCTTAGCACACCTAGCTACCTTCTCCCTCTCTCCCTCTCTCCTCTCTCTCTCCTCTCTCCCTCTCGCCTTCTATTCTCTCTTTCTTTTGTCTTCATATACGCAAACCCCATATCGAAAGTCACCCAACAATCATATCATGAAGTAATATGTAGTACAAGGCTTCTCCTTCTTCCTATATGGCAAAAAAGACTGAAGATTTACACATGGGTCTTACTTGTTCTTTCCTTTTAAAGCTACTCTTAGTGGTGGGGTTTGTCTGCCTTCTATTGCTTGGAAGCTTAGGAACCGGAGAAGGAAGAAAAATCCACCATAGAGATGAGATTGACAGAGACAAGCCTAATATGAACCAACAAGAGCTGGATTTCAACTACATGAGCAAAAGAAGAGTCCCAAATGGATCAGATCCTATCCATAACAGGTTAGTTCTTACTTCTCTACTTATGTTTTTACTTATTTTCCATATTGCTAAATTTACCTACTTATTTTTTCGGGTAGAGCTCAATGACACTGGTCAATCTATATAGCTAACCCCACTTACTTAGTAGGATAAGATTGTTGTTGTTATTGTTGTGATTCCTTCTTTGCTCTCTTTGATATTAACTCAGTTTTTTGTGTTTTCCAACCGAGTAGAACCAAGTTGATACTTGGATATCTGTATCCAGTTACAGCAACCTTATATATATGACAGTCAAATTAAATCTGTTTCATATATATTCCACTAGTATTGTATTTTTCGTTTTGGCCGAAATAGAAATGTATAAACTATATATATATGCCTCATGGAGAAGCCAGGTTCGTATCATTTTGCAGTTTCTCAATCCAAATAAAGAGGAAAAGCAAGATATGAGAGAGTTTATGCTTTAACTGTTACATTGAATTGTTGCTTTGAGGACTTTAAGAGACTTATCCCTTTAAAGAAAATAATAAAGTATGGCTAAGCACTTTATTCTATGCAAATATTTATTAATACACACACACACACAAGTATTAAATTAAAGTTGTTTATCGCTTCATATGGTTCTCTGCATTTTATGAAACTTTCAAAACCTTTGTCTTACTTCTCTTTCCTTTGATCCTCCCTTAAGCACTTTTAGCACAATAATGCAATTAATTATTGGGGCACATATGCGGATAATGGAAGTACAAGATTCACTCTGAAACTATAAGCTGAAGTACTGCACATTTTTATGAAAATAGGACACTTAAAATTTTGTTTATCTTTCAGACATTATTGTATAATTGAATTTTCTTTAAAATTTTGTTCATCAGAAGAGCTGGAAATTCAGGTCGACCTCCTGGCGAAGCCTAGTAGTGTTCTCGGAATATGACAAAGCTTCATCAGCAACCTCGCAGAACTGAAGATGACAAGCTTTTTCTCAGGAAAATGATATTTTCACCCCCAAGGAACGAACAGATCAAGAAGAAAAGTGAGGAGGAGGAGGACGAGGAGGAGGAGAAGATGGCTTGTCTCAGAGATAATAAGCTCAAAAGAATTGAAGGAGAGAGATTATTAAGTTTCTGGAGAAACTTCTCGATTTAGCGACTAAGTATGAGTGTGTATGTATATATATGTATTTTTTTTTTGAAAGGATCGATCGCTCTTGTTCTTAAAAGCTTTCATAAGTACAGGTTACTTATCGACTGACAACATCTCTGCACATGACAAAATAAAAATTATACATCTGGTTTGAATTTTTTTTTTTTAAAGAAAAAAAGCCTGGACGCATGTCATTGAAGGAATCAAATAAGTGTTAATTTTGCATGTAAAGCAAATAAGGAATATAGCTATTAAATTTAAAAGCCAAAAAAGTTCAGAAACTGAAGAAGAGAGGAAGGTACTGTAGAAATAGCAGCCATGCACGCTTGTTTTTAATTTAAAGGACTGTGCATTATTAAGTTTAGATCTCCATGATACTAAAAAAAAGGCAACATGGGTAGGAAGCTTTTGGCTTTTTGGAGTGTTCATTGTGGCATGTTGTGGAATTTGGTTCTTTATTGTAATTAAAGATTAGGCGTGAGTTGGTAATAAAGTGAATTCCACCATTTTAAAGGTGTAAGGTGGTGTTGTTGAAGCACCTGTAAAAGGAGGATGCTTGCACCTTATCGTAAGTCTTTTTCACTGCTGGATTCCTTTTCATTATGGGTGTGGTGAATTATTGGTCTTGGCTCCAATTTCCAACTGGTTAATTGGAAAAATGACAAAAAAAACCTTGAATATAGAAAATTCCAAAAAAGGTAACTATCACTTCAAAATGACAAGAAAGGATGTGAGACATTATGGAAATGTGTAAAAATGATTAATATGTCCTTGTGTAACCAAATTGTTATTTCAAATTTTGTTATTATTATCGGTTCACAACTTATTATTTCTAAATTATACCTTAATGACAAGTTATGATTACCGATTCAAAACTTGTCGTATCAAAAGTTATTAATTCAAGTTCTATTATTGTTATTTTTAGTTCACATATATTATGTCATCTAAGGGCATATTAGTCAATTTTTCATTTTTTTTTTTCATAATCTCAATTCAGGCTTTCTTTCATTTCCTATTATTTTGAAGTGTTAGCTGTCTTTTTTAGAATTTTCTATATTCAAAATTTTTTGTTGGTATTTTTCCTTGTTGAAATTAATTATAACACTTTATCACTTCACATAATCACAAAATTAGTGAAAATATGATATGGAAATGCTAAATTTGAAAAACAAGTTTAAGTGAATTTATGGATTTTCAAAACCCATCTATCAAAATCATCAGAATTATCATCTTAGCTAATGCAAATAGCATTCATGGGACGCTTAACGCACGCACGCCGGGGGTGGGATTTGGTGGTTTGGAACCTCTCCTCTCTTTTTCTCGTCCTCTCTCCTCCTCTCCTTTTCTTTTTTTTTTTTTAACCATTAAATTAATATATTTTAACGGTTTAGATTTTAATTTTTCATAACGTATTTACTATTTACAAAAAAAATTAAAAATATTTAGTATACTTACAAACCATTAAAATTAAATGTTAATATAGTTTGTAATTTATTATTTCTTTATTTTTATAATTTAATATTTTAATAATAGTTTTAAAAAGATTTAAATTTAAACTTTAAAATATTAATTTAATGGTTAAAAAAGGAAGAGGATAGAAGAGGATCCGAACTAGGGATTTGGTGCTTATAGGTTTATCATTTTGATGGATTTTTTTTTTCTCCCATAAATGAAGACACATCTAATAACACCAACAGCAAATAACATTTTTTTTTTTTACCAGCAGTTGACATATGAGCTAAAGAAAAACAGTTAACAAACATAAGCAGTTGAAATTTCAAGAGAACCTTCTAGTTTACTAAACTATTGAACAATTGAAGTATTAGATTGAGATATGCTAAAAACCCCAAATTGGATCATACAAGAATAGTTTGAATGGAAAATAAACTAGGAAAAGAGAAAAAGAAGATTGATGGGTTGCGTGGTTCAAGGTGAAAATTAAAGGACGCTCTTAAACCAAGCATTTTTACCACCTTTTTATTTATTTATTTACTTACCTACTCTTTTAGTTTAGATATGTTTTGATTGGGGTGAAAAGCAACTAATATTCCAAAGTAAGATTCCAATAGGGGCATTTGCTTAAAAAGGAAAAAAAAGTGTTCAATTCAAATTTTCAAACTTGCACTTCGCTTGAAATTTGAAGACGCCATTCATGACCATTTGTCCGTCAGTTTGAAAGTGCAGTTTAGTTAGAACAATATTACCTTCGGTTATTGATATAGGAGCTAATTGACTAATTTGAGTAGATTAAAATTTTTTATTAAATTAGTTATTTGCATATTATTTTCTCAAAATATCTTTGTTAATTATATGTATTAGCTAAAACTACTATTTGATGAAACGTTTAATATATGCAACTACTACAATAACTACTTTTGAAAAAAATAGATAAATATGAAATTGAATGTATTAGTTTTATATTTAGAATCAAATTGAATGTCAAACTAGCTCTTATATTAAGAGTCAAATGCAATACTAGTTTTTCTTTTTTTGTAAAAAAAAAAATTTGGCCCATTAGATTTTAATTGAGTTGATTAACAAGAATTCATGATTTAATTAAGATGGACTTAGCAATTAGCATAAAGTGTTTGAATGTTATGGTGAAACCATTTTCCATAATTTTATTTTTGATATATTTGTATCGTGTAATTGTTATGTTCTTTTTGAGAAATATTTATTTAATTATTTTATTTTATTTAGTATATTATAATAAATATTGAATTTTGATGTACTTTTGTTTGAATTATGATAATAAATTTGTGATATTTTAAGCTGCTTGGCATTTTACTTTGGTCCATTAAAATTTGAATATGCATGGTAATAGTAAGAAATTTAAATTGAAAAAATTACTTGGGCTTTTAAACATGGCCCTACGTTCAATCAATTCGGGCAGAGTTTACCAATTCCTCTCGTTTTCCTTCTCTGTACACAAAAAATAAATAAATAAATAAATAAATTCCACCTGTTTCCCCATACACTACTTCTACAATTTTGAGATAATTTCTTAATTTTGCAGGAATAATAATTAGAAGAATTAAATTCATAAGCTTGTACCCGTCACATTATTTTTATATATAATTTATATTTATATAACCATAATATAATAAATAATATCGACTTTTGTTTGATAAGAAATAGCATTGACTTTAGATTGGGTCATGAATTATACATGTTTTTAATGTAATACAAAATTTGAGAAATGAACATAACTTTAACTTATAAAAACTAAACAATAAAACATCCTTAATATGTATATTAATATTAATGAACATAACAACTAATAATAATATTTTCTTTGCCGAAACTAATAATAATATTATAAAAAGCTAAAATGGCTCTTATCTATTTATATGCAGTTTTAGATGAGCTTGCCCCTTTTTCCGTAAATTTCTTACATTTTATATTGATAGATTTTGTACAATTATATACTACTTTCGATCCTAATTATAAGAACTAGTTGACTAATTTGAGGAGATTAAGGATATAATTTAAATTAGTTATTTGCAATGAATAGGTGTTGTCTTTCCTAAATATCCTTGCTATCAAGTATATTGGTTAGAACTATTATTATTAGAAGGATTTTCTTCAAAAAAATACATAAATATGAGAGACAAAATGGATTGAGATCTTATATTTAGAATCAAAATAAAAGTCAAACAAGATATTATATTAAGGACCATTAGTAATATTGATTACTGCAAGAACACTAAATATTTTCTTATCTTTTACTTTGAGTGCTCATCTCTTTGATGAGGGTTTGGACTATTTTATATATTTTAAATAATTTTTTATTTTAATATAGATTTTAAATCCAATCTTATTTATCAGGTATAATTTTGCTTTTTATCTTTCCAGTAGCACAATTTTAACTCTGATCTTTTGTTTTTACGCCATTTTGTCAAAGATCAAAGGAAAAATTACATACATAAAAAAAAAGATCAATGACAAAATTATACTTGAAAAATAAGATCATAGGCAAAATTATATCATCAAAAAATTAGGGGTAAAATTACGTTTGAGAAATAAGATCAGAGTCAAAATTGCTCCTTAAACCTTTAATATATTTAGAATTTAAAGCAAATTTCATTTGATAACTAACACTTTTAAAAAAAAAAATTTATTATTAAAAATTTTAAATATGACTCATTCATTTAGATTTTGAATGACTTAGGTTGTATCATGATGGTGATTGATAAGCACACGATGACTCATTCTTCTTCTAGTAAAAGTTTATGTGAGTTTTTCTCCTTGAATGAAAAATGATTTTAAAAAAACTGTAAAAATAAATATTACATGAAGTAACAATAACAACTATTGATTTACTCAAAAAAAAAAACAACTATTGATTAAAAAAAATAACAACTAATCATTATTGCCTGATTTCCAAAATAAAAAACTAAATTATCATGGTCAAAAAATTACTTAAAACATTTTCATGATTGGTAATTTGTATTTATAATTGATAATCGACAAACCTAATTGGTTAAATAACAATTAAGAAAACAAAAATGATGATTCAACAATATATTTCCCTCTTCTTTTTAGTTTTTACCTCAGGAAATGAAATAAGCCTGCTTTGATTGTGTCTCTTCCATTTCCTGTTTCCCTGAAATACTCCGTTGCCGAGAGAAGCACCGAGCTAGGAATGATTCTGGGATTCAAACCAAGCCCATCTTCGAAACGGTCCGTTTTGATTTCTGCGTTTCGGCTCCCAATCCGTACTCTAACGTTCTTCCACCAGTCGCCGCTGATGAGTTTTCCATTGAATTGAGCCTCAAGTTCCGCGTCAATTTGCAAGTTTCGGCGTTTCTTGTTCTTTTTATCTTCTTCAAGATCGTCGATCTGTTTGTTAGGAGGGGGATCTTGGAGCTTCGGATCTGAGGATTTTTTATTTTTTTGACTTTTTGTGCCTGGAGCTAGGAGAGAGAGATACAGTGGTTGTTATAAACGATGCCGTCTCACGCGGATCTGGACCGTCAGATTGAGCAGCTGATGCAGTGCAAGCCTTTGTCGGAGGCGGAGGTGAAGACACTGTGCGATCAGGCGAGGGCGATACTGGTGGAGGAATGGAACGTGCAACCGGTGAAATGCCCTGTAACGGTGTGTGGGGATATTCACGGCCAGTTTTATGATCTCATCGAGTTGTTTCGGATAGGAGGTAGTGCTCCGGATACCAATTACCTCTTTATGGGCGACTATGTGGGTGAGTGTTTCTCCAAGTTCTACCTCACTTTTGTTGTTTTTCTTTTTTGTTTTTGTTATGTGCAAGGTTTTTGGTGGGTTATTTTGTCGGGTTCAAAGCTTTGATGTGTCGGATTGTTTATTATATTTTCCGATAATTGATGATTTAAGGTTTTTTTGGGTAAGGAATCGTTCATCAAAAGATGCCTTGGTGGTGTTTCTTGATAGGATGTCGTATTTTCCGATAACATGGTACCGGATGGAGCCTTTAAACATGATATTCTTGATAGGATGGGGCCTTGAGCATGATATCTATAATCACTATGCGGTCTTTTTATTGTCGTTGATGTTGTCCGGAAACTGTTGCCATGAGACTTTTTACCTGTCAATTATCGGTTTGGAAAAAATAAAGAGGGAGGTTCTGATTAGTTGAATATTGATGTTGTTTAGCAGGCTTAGTTTGCAAAGGCTGCAGGATAATCTTTCATGCCTTATTGCATAGGGAAAAAGATTAGATTTAGTTCCCCGGCTACTGTTGATTTTTTCACCTTTATGTGTTGTCTGCTGGATCGAAGGCCTTGTTTGAATTAATTAAAAGGCTGTTCTTACCAGTCATATTCTCCTAGTTCTTTCCCTTTGGTTTTGGTTAACTGTTGTCATTAAGTACAGTGACGTTGTGCGATGTATGTAGTTTATCTTGCCTATTGCAATAAGATTTGTTATTCTATGGACTGTCAAACCTCTTGAGAGAGTGAACCTTTCCCCTACCAGTCATCAGAACTACCTTGAGATTCTCAATATTATGTTGAGAAATTCATAATGTATTTAATGGTGGGAAAGATCAAGCTCTCTATAGAATCATTTGTTTACGGCATTATGTCTATGCTTTATGTGCTAGATTCGTTGTTAATGTAAATTAAACTTGTTTGCTTCTTTATATGAGCTACATGATCTCTCTATAACATCGATGGCATGAATGTCCTTTTCACTATCAAAACGTGGAGGTGAAAAGATGATGTAGAACATTGCATTTTTTAGGACTTTTGTTGGACGCATTAGCAACGGAGGCTCTGTAATATGGAAGAGCTAGTCCTTTGACAATTGACAGTGGAAGCATGCCTGGTTCATTCGTTTGAATTGCCATATCCAAAAGTAGTGTCTCAGTGATGTTCCTTAGAAACAGTGTCTAACTGAAAATTCTCTGACTTTATCTGTCTCTGATCTAGATTTAGTGTTCAGGATAAAAACTGCAACCTTTTGTGATGAAAGATGCTTACGCATCTTTTCTTGTCACTTCTTGTAATGGTTTCCAAATCGTAGTCATAACATCTATGAAATGTGGGACCAATTTCTCATCATCATGGCTGAATTAAACCAGATCGTGGCTACTATTCTGTGGAGACTGTTACACTTTTGGTGGCCTTAAAAGTTCGCTACAGAGACAGAATCACAATTCTTAGGGGAAATCATGAGAGCCGTCAAATTACGCAAGTGTAAGAATGTTTTCTTTGCATTCGGTAATTCTCAAATTAATTAATACCACGAAAACATGAAAGGAAAAAAATTTTAAACAAAAAGTATGATGCTAATTGTTGACTTCACAATTTAATTTTTACCTTTGGCGTTCTGCTTTCAGGTATGGCTTTTATGATGAATGCTTGAGAAAATATGGAAATGCCAATGTCTGGAAATACTTCACGGACTTATTTGATTATTTGCCTCTGACTGCCCTTATTGAGAGTCAGGTCTGAGTTAAAAATGTTGCACAGAATTTTTGTCCTGCTATTTTCACTCAATTGTCTAACTTCCTTGATTATTTCAGATTTTCTGTTTGCATGGAGGCCTTTCACCTTCTTTGGATACACTAGATAATATTCGGTCCCTGGATCGCATTCAGGAGGTATGTGAGTTGCTAAATGGCCTGTATGAATGCTCTGTACAGTCTAATGATATGCTTGGTATTGAGAGTATTTTTATGTCAATATGTAGTAGTTGGGCAAACGGAATGTGTGTGTGTGTGTGTTCTTGGAGATGATTTGGCTGGAAACATATTATTGAATGTTAAAACGGTGAACCATAAAAGTATGTTTCAGTTGTGCATTGGCTGATTTTATGATCTTTAGGTCTATTATTGGTTTTGAAATCGAAGCATTCCCCTTGACTCCAAAGATTCAACAAAGAAAAATTTCATTGCTGTAACAATTGGTAGGGAGCAAATCCACAAGGATGTTGAACGACCCTTTTGGACAAAATAACTTTTTTATTGACCCTTCCAGGCCATAAATTATAATTTACCTTTTTATTGGGCTTTTTAAAATGCTTTCTAGGGTTCACCACAATGATCCATTTCTCCTTCCACTTGGATTAATTCCATACTTTTTAGTTGTCGGTTGTCATATGTCTGCCTTGCCTGGCGCAGTAGGAAGAATTTAGGCTGTCTCATCTTTTAGCCATTGGCGGAATGTCTCTTGTTGGCCTTTTTTCTTACTTAAACCTTTACGGATGAGTTTAATTAATTGGATAAATAGCGACTCTTGCGCTATGGTTGCCTGATCAATTGTACTTCTGCATTGCAGGTTCCGCATGAGGGACCCATGTGCGATCTCCTGTGGTCTGATCCAGATGACCGTTGTGGATGGGGCATATCTCCCCGTGGTGCAGGATATACATTTGGACAGGACATAGCTTCGCATTTTAACCACACGAATGGCCTCTCCTTAATTTCTAGAGCTCACCAGCTTGTCATGGAAGGATATAATTGGTGCCAGGTGCCCGCCTGACCTTCAATTTAGGAATCTGTATAGTTACATTTTTAACCTTATCCATTCAAGATATTGACATATCTTATGACTTGTTTAGGAGAAGAATGTCGTGACTGTATTCAGCGCTCCGAATTACTGTTACCGGTGTGGGAATATGGCTGCGATACTGGAAATAGGAGAGAACATGGATCAGAATTTTCTGCAGTTTGATCCAGCTCCCCGGCAGGTCGAGCCTGACACTACACGCAAGACTCCAGATTATTTTTTGTAATTTCTTATGTTTCCCAGACACTTGTTGTCACTTTTTTTCCTGCTGCGATTATAGATGTGTCTTTTAGAGTTTATCTTCTTCATAATTCTTTCTTCTGGAGTTTGTCATCATCGTCTGTTGCTGCTGCTGCTACTGTCTTGTCTGCGCAAGAAAAAGAAACCCATAGGAGAACTGGCAGAAGCCACCAGTTGGTGTTGTATATTTTTGAGAGGAGGAAGCAGCCTTAACATGGTATAAACTGGTTCTGAAATTTTATATATATATTTTTTTCAATCTCAGGGTAGAGCCAATTTTTTTGTGACCTGGCAGTCATGTCCATTTGAGACTAAATGGTTGTCCCAACTCCTTAAAAAACGAAGTGCAGGTATTCATTTACATTATTACCGAATGGTTTATTGGAGCCATACTCGTGGGGTTTTTTTGTATTTTTTTTCCTGTTTGTTTTGTTTAATTGGAAAGAAACTAGAAAACGATGATCCTCACCATTCTCAGTATTCCCAAATTTGTGCGGTGAGTTGGTCATGTCATATCTTTGGTGGTTACTTGACTTGAGAGGCAGGTTCAGTTTTCTTATCACCAGTCGGCAATGTTTATCATCTTAAAGATAAAAATTAATTTAAATGACTTTGGGGTATGAAGATTAAGGTATAAATTTTATGTAAATTGAAAGGGGGAAAAGTCTATGAAAATGATTTGGTTTTGCTTGGAAAAGCTTTGTGAAGCCAAGCAGCTAGCATTTCCGTGTGAGTTCTGTTTGAGAGTGGAGACATAAATGCCTCATTGGTCGACCATGTTGGAGAGTGGGACCTTTTTGGTTGGCCCGAAGGGACGAAACGACCTCTCGAGTCTTGAGTTGATTACATCCGTCGTTGGTATGTGTATTTAAAAATTGACAAAAACTACCAATAGGGGTTGGGTCTAACAGAAAAGGTTAGTCTTTATAACGTAACGAATCAAAGTTCGAATTCTCATTGAGAGAGGTATTTACATTTAGTGCTCGATAATATTTTGAATAGAATTGTTTTCAATAGGAGGATATTTATGTTTTAGCCCAAAAAAAATTGACAAAGACTGCGTTGAAGACTTGTGGCCTACTGGCTAGCATGCACTACGCTGACGGCAAAATAGAAGTTCGAATAGGCAAAGACCAGAAGGGATAGACAAAATAAAAATAGATATACTCTGAATTTAATACAAGAAATTTATGAATTATAAGAGTCTAATTATAAACTTTTAACTTATAAGGATCAAACTAAAAAACTTGAATCAAATTAAGATGATGTGAGTATAATCTACTACCTCCAGTCTTTAATATAAGACCTTATTTGACTTTTATTTTGATTCTAAATATAAGACCCCAATCTACTTTGTCTCTCATATTTATATATTTTTTTCAAAATAGTCCTTCTAACAATGGTAGTTCTTGCCAATACATTTGATTAGCAAGGATATTTTAGGAAACACAATACCTATTTAGGACAAATAACTAACTCAACTTACTTCCTTAATCTCTTCAAATTAGTCAACTGGCTCTTATAATTAGGATCGGAGGTATTATCTACAAATAAATAAATAAGTAAAAGGACCATATTATTTATAAAACTGGAACAATTTTGCTATCCTTCAATAAAAATAATTTTGACCCAAATTAATTTCTCTTAGTTAATAATATAAAATTTCCATTATTTATATAACCATTATTAAATGTTTTACCTCCGATCCTTAATATAAGAGTTAGTTAACTAATTTGAGTAAATGAAGAAAAGTAGTGATATTGGTTGTTTGTAATAAATAGATATTGTCTTTTGTTGAGTACTATTGCTAATCAAATGTCATTTGATGAAATATTTAATATGTGCAACTATTACAAAGATTACCTTAAAAAAAAAGACAAATATAAGAGGCAAAGCACGTTAAAGTTATATTTAGAACCAAAATGAAAACCAAACAAGCTCTTATATTAAAGAGAGGAGGTAGTAGCATATTTTTATATTATTTCATTTTACATAGTATGTAAAATTTTCAAAATAGTAATAAAAAGAGAGTTACATAATTTACAAATGTGTTACAAGTGGAAAGCCTAATTTACCCTTAATATTGTTGCCATCCTTGTGAGTTGTGATCCTACCTGGCTTGTCTCCATCCTGGTATATCATGACAGTTACTGCTTAGAAAAACAGAGTCCTAGTTTCTCTACACATCCAAGCTTTTATTCTGTAGCAAAGGGGTTGTAGAAGATTGCATATTCTTCTTCTGATTCTCTTCCTTCTCATTCACCATCTTTTCTTCTTGAGCCAGACCCCACATCACTGAGTAAAACCCAATTCCTATTATACCTGCTCCTATCATGCTGCATTAACAAATCAAACTCCACATTTTTAGATATTAAATCCCCCTACTTCACCATTTATGCTCACAGTTTCACAAACTCCCCACAACTTAGATTTTGTTTGTGTACCTTCCCAGATAAAGAGTCTCACTCAGAAATATGACTCCCATGCCAATTGCAATGACCATCCCTAAAGGGTTGAACATAGCCACATAAATTGGCCCCTTCTTTCGACTAGCCCATGCAAGCACAACACTTCGGATTGATACCTGAAATATTGCCTGCAAATAATGATCCACATCATCACTACACGAACTATATTTATACACTAGAAGCTTCTCCCTGTGCGATGCACAGGATGACACATATTAAAATGGTTGATACTACTGAAAAATATTTTATTATATTCTTCCTCTTCTATTGTAAAGAAAATTCATCTTTTGTTATTAGTTTTTGAAAATATGATTTTCTTATATGTGATTTGGACAATAAAGTATAAGATTTAAGTATCTAAAATGTTGACGATTTTACTAAATACTGATTTCACATAAATTTTTTTAGTAAAACTACATATAATATTATTCTCCCTAATGAAACATCAATGTTTAGCTCCAAAGAAATGTGAAAGGTGCACCACAATTATTGTGTCATTAAAATAATTAAATTCGCAAAGATACAAAGCAAAGAGGTTAAGTGTCAGTTTCAAGATAACGTATATTACATAAAGCAGACTTTAGGAAATTCCATGAATAATTTGTTTGTGAAACTCCCTTTGCATTTTTTTCCTAATAACATTTATAGTGCCCCTCTACTATCAGTTTCGTACTATTAAGTGTCAATTGAATAGCCATTTAATTGCTTAACCCGACCCGTTTTGATATCATCGGGTATTACAAGATTTCATAGTAAAAAAAGTACGAAGATACCAGTGAGCGTTACTTTTGCACCGGCATCAAGTAGCTTGCTTTATTTCTTCTGCAGTTTGTACTTACTGAATAAAATATGGCTACCAATTCCATATCAGGCCTGAGTATCCAAGCTACAGAAGCTCCCTCTGCAATGAGAGCTACGATGGCAGAAAGAACTACCACAAAACTGCAACAAATGGTTGTGACCATGAACTCTGCGGGATAGTCCTTTAGAACCCAAAACTGCCCATATATTTGAAGATGGAAAGTTTTTCAAAAAAAACAAAAACAAAAAACAAAATTATAGTTTCAGCCAACAGAGACAGACTCAAATATTGAGCCTTTATTATTTATTTCATAACAAGTATTTAGTATTGATATTATAAAATAATTCATATTTAAATATTATCAAGTCCTTGAAAAAGTAGTAGCTTAGTATGGTTTTTCCATTGGTCATAAGATTCTAAATCAAAATCTTATTTAACAAGTATTGAGGTTCCTTTGATGACTTTGCACTCAATTCGATTGGTTTTAGTAATTACAAAGAGAGAACAGCAACAGAGAGACAAAAGCTTTAAGAATAATTCATCTAACCTTTAAGAATTTTTAAAGATGGAGGAGTACTTTTCAATGATGGAATAAGTTTGAATACCTGGACAACAATTACGAGAGAGTTGCAAAAGCTGGCAATTGAAAGGAGAAAGCCTCCCAGCAGCCAATTCGAATGCTGTGATGAGAGCAAAACCCAGCTCAGTGGCTTCTCTGGTAGGGGCTGAGGAGTAACTGGAAGACCCTTGTATAAGGTCACAATTAATGCTCCTGTGATTGAGACTACTGTTCCAATAGCTTTCGCTTGACTGCTTCGTAATTTCAAATCCAGATTTTCCATCCTGAAATTACACGACATAGAGTTCACTGATTTTTCAGTCCGGTCTGCTGCGTGAATATAATGCAAATCTAGTTTCGTAAGTCCATCAAAGTTCCAGATTAAGAGTGACATCTAAATGCGGCCAAAAAAAATGAGTGACATCTAGACTACTTGAAGTGGCACTTCAAGTGAAGCCAACATGGTGAAGGCAATTGGCCAAATCCAAAACAAAAAAGGGAGTAAAAGATGCAACCAGTTTGATGCTCATCTTTAGGATGAGCATGACCGTTTAGATCTCATCTGAACATTCTAAATGAGATGTTTTAATAATTATTTTTAAATAAATAAAATTATTTTTTAATAAATTGATAGTTAAAAAAATATATTTTTATTTTAGATTCTATACCTCTTAAGATAATTATTTTAAAAATAAAAAATTAAAAAAATTAAAATTGGATTGTCCAGGTCATATATGGATGGTTCAGATGAGATGAGCCCAAGTTATTCATGAGCACTCAAACCGGTTCGTGAAAGATAGAGAAATGAAAATTAATGGATTGGAATTTTTTTAAAATTAGAAATTTATGAAGTTTTTTGAGATAGAGGGAAATTAAATAAAAATAGAAAATGAAAAGAGAATAATTAAACATTATACTTTAAAACATGATCTTTTTTTTAAAATTGGGGATAAATCCCATAATTGACAAATAGTCCTTGACAGATTGCATAAGAAAAAATAAGTTGTTCACCAAAAAAAAAAGTTACATGCAAGGAAAGTTAACAACAACAACAAGCCTTATTTTACTAGGTGGAGTCGGCTACATGAATCACACAATGCTATCGTGCTTTGTCAACAATCCAGTCCTTAGATATATTGTTGACCAGAAGGTGTCGTTCAATGACTTCATTAAGCATTCTTCTCAGTCTTCCTCTGCCTTTTTTTGTGGGACTCCATATTGTCTGATCTACCCTCCTCACCAGGGCCTCCAATAGCCTTCTCTGCCGATGTCCAAACCAGCTTAAATGATTTTCAATTATTTTCTCTTAGATAGGTGCCACACCGACTCTTATTCTGATATTTTTATTTCGAATCCTATCTTTTCTTGTATGACCACACATTCATCCTAACATCCTCATTTCTATTACCTCAATTTTGTGCTCATATTTTCCCTTTATTGTCCAACATTCACTACCGTACAACATAACCGGTCTTATAGTAGTCCGATAAAATTTTCCCTTAAGCTTCTCAAGTACCTTCTTATCGCAAATA